CATGAAGCCTCTAAAGTGTAAAGCCCATTACAAGCTTCCTATATTCTAGGTCTCAAAGAGCGGTACTATATTTAACAACTGGTTGGCATAGGCACTGGGATAGCCAGCCTCCAAGGTCACCCCAATGATCCCTGCCTCCTGCAGGTTATGTCCTAGTGTAGTGTCCTCTTTCATAGAGCTGACCTATGTGACCAATAGTAAGATATTGGGGACGTGATGAGGTGTGATATTAACACTAGGACATAAAAGACATTGTGGCTTCCATCTTACTCTTTCTTGAACTGCTCACTTTTACAGAAGCCAGATGTCAGGTTGATATGGTTTGAATGTGTCCCCTTCAAAATTCATGTTGAAAATTAATCCTCATTGTGGTGATAGTAAGAAGTGGGGCCTTTGGGGAAGTGATTAAGTAATGAAGGCTCCACCTTCATAAATGGATTAGTGAGTGTCCTATAAAAGGGCTGGAGGGAACTAGCTTAGATCCCTTTTACTCTTCTACTCTTCTGTTGTATGAGGACACAATGCTCGTTCCCTTTTGCCATTTCTGTCCCTTATGTCATGTAAGAACATCTAAACAGCACCATCTATTAGGAAGAGGCATTCACCAGACACCAAACCTCCCAACACCTTAATCTTGAACTTCCCAGCCTCCAAAACTATAAGAAATAAATTCCCATTGTTTATAAACTACCTGGTCTCAGGTGTTTTGTTAGCAGCACAAACAAGCTAAAATACTTGTCATGAGGACACTCAAGCAGCCCAACAGAGAGAACTAGGTGGTAAATAACTGATACTTACTATCAATAGCCAATGATATATCAAGGTATCCCATCCATAGCCATGTGATTAGAAGCAAACCTTCTGGATATAGTCAAACCTTCAAATGACTTTAGTCACAACTGACTTCTGGACTATAACCTCATGAGATACCCAGAGGTGGTATTATCCATCTAAACCACTCTTTATTTATTTATTATTTTATTTATCTATTTTTTAAGTTGATAAAGAAAAGAGGTTTAATTGGCCCACGGTTCCAAAGTCATACATGAAGCATGACTAGGGAGGCCTGAGGAAACTTATAATCATGGCAGAAGGAGAAGGGGAAGCAGGCATGCCCTACATGGCTGGAGCAGGAGGAAAAACTAAACCAATCTACTGACCTACAGAAACTGTGAGACATTAATTATTTGTAGTTTTAAGCCACTCCATTTCAGAGCTTGTTATTTGGCAAAATAATAATAATAATAATAATTAAAAGAGATGTTTGGTGCCAAGAGTAGGGTGCTGCACAAAACCTAACATGTGAAATGACTTTAAAACCAGCAGAGGGCTGAAGCTGGAAGGAATTTGGAAAGAGTATTAATGAAAGTCTAAGATGCTGGAACACACCATTATCAGAAACCTAACCATCTTTATGAAGGTTGCCTGTGAGAGCTTAAGGGAAAGTAAAGAAAAATTTATTAGGAACTGGAGGAAAGGGATCCCTTGTTATTTAGTGCAATGATGTGGAGAGTAGAAAACATATTCACAATTTGGATTGTGAATATACCAAAGGATATTTCCAAAAAGAATGTTGATGGTGCTTCCTGGATTTTTTTGGGGGGAAAGGGGGGTGCTGTTTATAGCAAAATGTGAGAAGAGAAAGTTAAGGGACAGACCTGAGCTTAAACAAAATGGAGATATAATTTGCTGCTTTCAAAATCCCCAGTGTCTCCAGATGGAAAATAATGCTAAACTTAAGAAAGGGCATCTAAGCAAAGATCAAATCCAGAATCTTTCCAGGAAAATATGGTATAAAGATGAAGCCAGTGATGCAATTATAAAATCCATTATCAAGGCCTAAAAAGAAGTGGAGAAGCACCTCAAAAAAACAATATTCCATCTAAGAGGATTATGGGTGTTGTCCCTAAGCAGTCTCAGGAGATGCCCAAAGCCAAATGAGCTTATCTAAGAGAGCTGTGTATATGCCTTTTGTCTAACGGAGTAAATTCCCATGTCAGTCCATTTTGCACTGCCATAACAGAAAAACTGAGACTGGGTAATTTATAAAAAACAAAAATTTATTTTTTCACAGTTCTGGAGGCTGCAAAGTTCAAGACCAAGATGCCAGAACCTAGTGAGGGCTTTCTTGCTATGTCTTCACATGGCAGAAGACAGAAGGGCAAGATAAAACCAACTCTGTATATCAAGCCCCTTATAAGGGCACCTACTCCCATTCACGAAGGAGGAGCCCTCATGGTCTAATCACATTACAAAGGCTCCATCTCTTAATACCGTTATATTGGCAACATCTGGTTTTGGAGGGGACATACTCAATCCACAGCACCCAATAAAATTTTTAGAGCACAGGGTATTTTGTAGATAGATAGAGAGATAGAAAGACAGATAGAAAGACAGTTCACCAACATGCCATGGACCAATCAGAGCCAACTTAAGGCCCTTCAAATGACACGACATGGATAATTCTGACCTGGACTGCCCATTCATTTTAAACAATGGTGACAAAAGGCCTTGTGCCTTTTTTGGTTATAGCCATAGGAAACATTGTGTGTTACTACATGATAATACATTGTTAAATGTCAACAGTAGTGACACAAATGGATTGTGGATGCATTATGTTGACTTTGTTTTAACAGACTCTTTTTAGACACCTACTAAAAAGAAAACACAGTGCTATGTATTTTAGGAGAAATAGATAAATAAAATCTTTTAAAGTCCCAAACATTCAGATGTCCACCCTCTAAGGAGTGGAGGGGAATAGATACACATATATAAGTAATGTTAATATACACCAGAATAATCTCATTGTTCAGTTCCCACCTATGAGTGAGAACATGCGGTGTTTGGTTTTGTGTTCTTGTGATAGTTTGCTAAGAATGATGGTTTCCAGCTGCATCCATGTCCCTACAAAGGACGCAAACTCATCCTTTTTTATGGCTGCATAGTATTCCATGGTGTATATGTGCCACATTTTCTTCATCCAGTCTGTCACTGATGGACATTTGGGTTGATTCCAAGTCTTTGCTATTGTGAATAGTGCTGCAATAAACATACGTGTGCACATGAGATCACTTGGACTCAGGAAGGGGAACATCACACACCGGGGCCTATCATGGGGAGGGGGGAGGAGGGAGGGATTGCATTGGGAGTTATACCTGATGTAAATGACGAGTTGATGGGTGCTGACGAGTTGATGGTTGCAGCACACCAACATGGCACAAGTATACATATGTAACAAACCTGCACGTTATGCACATGTACCCTAGAACTCAAAGTATAATAATAAAAAAAAATAAAATAAAATAAAATAAATAAAAAATAAAAATATATATACACCAGAATATGAGATATGCTGCCATAGTATATAAAGATATTGATGCCAATTAGCAAGCATCCAGGCAGTCTTAATTAAATGTAGAAACAAGGCCTTCTACCTTAAAACCCCTGACCCTCCCCTTATCTGACACTCTACTCTGGTCAACACAAACTTCATTTTTTTCCTTAAACAGGTTCCAGATAATAGGCCCGTTTCCTCTTTTAAGTGTTTTTGTTGTTGTTGTTGCTGTTGTTGAGAAATCGTTCAGACCTACACAAAGGTACAGGAATACTACATCTGTGAACCCACCACCCAACTTCAGAAACATATTACAAATAGAGGTGAAGTCCACCTTGTACCTCTCCCCAATTAAACTGTCCCTTTTTCTCCACAAGATCTAATCACTCTTAAGGTGCTTATCATTCTCATATATACATATCTGCATGTTACATGTGTATGCATCACTGACATGTATGCCTTTTACTGTAAATGCACATAACCACAGTCATTACAGTGAATGTTTTACATGTTTTTAGACTTCATATGCATGGTATAATGCTTATATCCTTCTGGAACTGGTTTTTTTTTTTCCTCTTACCCACTTTTCACTGCCACCACCCAATCTTTGCTTCTTGTTTTAAGTTGAATTGGGTCCTTCAAAGAGACATGTTGAAGTCCTAATCCCAAGAACCTGTGAATGTGACCTTATTTGAAAATATCATATTTGCAGATGTAATCAATTTAAGATGAGGTCATACTGGATTAGGTGGGCCATTAATCCATGACTGGTGTCCTTAAAAAGAAGATACACAAAGACAGAGACACAGGTGAAAACACAGTGTCTGTGAAGACGGAAGAAGAGATTAGAGTCACGTATTTGCAAGCCAAAAGATACTAAAAATTGATGGCAGAAGCTAGGAGAGAGGCATGGAATAGATTCTCCATCACAGCCTCCAGAAGGAACTAACCCTGCTATCACCTTGACTTCAAACTTCTAAACTACAGAACTGAGGCAACAAATTTCTGTTGTTTTAAGCCACTCTGTTTGTGGCAATTCATTATGGTAGCCCTAGGAAACAAACACATTCCTCCAGGCACTCTTTGTGTCTCAGGCCCCTGAGAATTTTAGTCTCTTTCCCAGTCCATACTTTACTGTGCTGTTCAGTTTACCTGCAACCATACCAAGTTAGAGAATTAAGGCTGGTCCTACTGTAGGTGAAGTTTGTTTTTCTCCATTGCTCTAAACCAGTGGCTCTCAAACTTCAGTGTGTTCGGGAGCACCTGAAGACATGGAAGACTTGTAAAACCCTGATTGCCGGTCTACCTTCAGAATCTCTGATTCAGTAGGTCTGGAGTAGGGTCTGAAAATTTGCATTTCTAACAACTTTTCAGCTGATGCTGCCACTCAATAGCAGCCCACTAGTACCATGTGGTCTCCAGACAGGCTGGGTCATTCATCTGATTCTTTCAATAAAAGTCAGTAGAGACTAGACCTCTACCTCTGTCATTACACAAATTGTTTATAGCTTTATATTTTATTTTGGGCTGCAATAACAGAATTTTTAAAAGGCTTCCCAAATAGTTGAAAGACTTATCTTAATGATAATATGCTAAACCAAAACAAAAAGATACAAAGATAAATTTCAGTCAGTATTATTTTTGTAAAAAATAATCTGCAAAGTACTCATTTCAAACAAGCTTTTATTTTTTAACATGAACAAATGCTGTCAAACATATACATAAAATGTAAGAGTAAAATCAGATATCAGTTGACATCATTTTTGTGTAATGAACTTTAACAAAACCAGTTGTTTGAGCTACTGAAAACTAGAACATCCATGAAGAGGAAATTAATTTCTTATTTCTCCATCTATTTCTTTCTCCGCCTCCAAGCTATAAGATGAAATAAGAAACAATTAACATTTGTACAACATTAACATGCACTAATAACGTTCTAAATCTATGAGTCAACCGTGTGTACATCTGCTGTCTCAATAAGGAGAAAATAAAACATTTTCCTCTTGTAACACAGACCCTTGGATGTTAGGATGCTCATACATTCAATGGTTTCAATGATCAGATCATATTAACCTTACTGCCCTCTTGTCCACAACTAGCAATGCTTGTTCCTTTCTTGAGAGGTCACTTTATGAATTCCATAAATCTTTCCACCTTAAAAGTCTGTTCTCTTTACACAAACCATATATATTCCAGACCCTCAGTTTCCATATGAGAATGAGGCTGTTATCAGACATCCACAGATAAGAAAATTCAGAAAGAGAGTGAAAGGCAATAAAGAAAATATATGCTAAGACTTAATTACCAATTCAGTGATAAATGATAACTAATTTCTGTTCTTTTGAATGTCATATGAAATAAAAAGATATAAACAGAACTAATATTTATGTAGTAACCACAAAGTGTGGTCTCACTTGAAATCCTTAACTTTTTACTACTTTGTAAATACAGTAGTCAACCTTCTCAAAGACATTATCAGTACAAGAGACTACATTTCTGTGGTCGAGCGATTAAGGTCAAACTAGTGCATGGCCCAGCCACTTTGCTGCTCCTTCTTCTCGTGACCTTTCTGTAAACAAATATCGATCTCCACTACTGGGTCTAATAGATTTCCCATCTGTAGCAATCTTAGAGCTACAAGATAAAGGACTTGTAGCTACGAATGAAATACATTTCCGAACATATTGCCTTCTATTTATCCAATATGAAAATACATTATTAGCATTAAACTTTTTAAAATTTTACCAATATTTTGCTTACTTAGCTTACAGAGAAAAATTAAAAACATAACGCTGCTAGTAAAAGGTGTATGTCAGAAGTGGTTAGTTAATACTCAAGACTATACATGAATACCTGGATTTTTTGAAGGTGCTGTCCTCTGCTGAGTCCGGATCCTTTTCTAGTCCTTCTTCCAGTTCTTCATTTTCATCCTCTTCTCTCTCCTTCTTGCCTCCAGCTTCTTGAGCCTCTTCATCAGAATTTTCATACTTATATTCAGTAGCTTCTTTAGAGAAGAACAATAAAGACATTGGGAGACTTTCTCCAAAAAAGTACTCCAGTTTATACTCAGTAGCCGTATCCCATACTCTATGCTCAGCAGAACCTGGGGAATAGAAATATGTCGGGGAAAAAGAATAGCTGAGAATGTTCCTACTGGTAAGTACAACACTTCCATGACCCTCACATTTTTGCTTCTTGATATTTTTCACCATAATATTTTTCCCCTCTTTCCAACAGATCTCATAACCTGTGCTGCTGATTATTCCTAGCCCTTGGGAGAAGAGATCGGAATCATCTAGGTCTGATAATATTTGGTATGTTTTTGTCAGAACTTCACTGAAAAATATTTCTTTAATTTAACTTTTGTGGTGAAGCTCACTGGTTTCTCAACCCCTGAAAGATTTATTTTCATGTCTTTCAAGTGCTCTAGTACAAGTTCATCATTTTCTGGGATCATCCTACCAAAAATCCTTACATTTTTAAAAGCTGTCAACCTAAAGTGAGGTATGCCATCTATTTGCCCTTTGTTTTCATGCTCTTTCCATTTCCTCCCAAGGTCCTCCCTTCCTGACCACCTACTTCCCACTGACGTTCACTTTCTATGGGCTCATACGTTACACTGATAATCTCAGATATTTTATCAAACAGAGGTTGGTAAAAGGAAGCACATTTTCTTTTTCAAGACTGTAAAGACCTTTATAGACTTGAGCTTCTAGTTGTGCATATGCTGCCTGAAGTTTCCTGACAGCATTGACCCGCTGCTGAACAACGGCAGGTAGGCTCTGAGCAACTAAGCCAGCTGTGCCAACAGAAGTTGCAAGGGTCCCCCAGGACTTTGCTGCCACTCTCAGGTCTCAGCCCCCTACGCTGCACAGACCCCAGTCTCCCAGGACTTGGAGGCATCAGCCAGCACCTCATTCTCCCAGACCTCCACCTCCCCTCTGCTTCCTCTGCCTGCAGGAATGAGGCGACCCCTGCAGCTTCCTCTGGATCCCGGGGCAAGGCTCCTTCTGCCGGATACACGCCATTCTAGACCTCCGCTCCCACTTCTGGGTCCTCCCACTCCCGGGTGCTCCCACCCCAGGATGCTCCTGTTCCCAGGTCCTCCTGCTCCCGGGTCCTCCTGCTCCTAGATCCTCCCACTCCTGGATCCTCCCACTCCCCTGGCGCAAGTGTCTCTCCCGGGTCCTCATGTTCCTGGAAACAACACGCAGTCTGCATGGGGCCAGACCAGGATATGGTCTTTATAGTAATAATAAATACAATATAGAAAGAAATGGACCAGATCCTGGAATAGGGACTAAAACATCATCATGGGAACTCACAGGCGCCACAAGCAATTTCTGTATCCTCTTTGCTGTCCTTTTCCTTCTCCTCCTTGTCCTCATCCTCAGCCTCCTCCTCGTCCTCCTCTTTGTCTTCATCCTGTTCCTCTTCTTCATAGTCCTCCTCCTCTCCTTCTTCTTCCTTCTCTTCTTCACCCTCCTCCTCCTCAAATTCCTCCTCCTCCGTTTCCTCCTCAAATTCTTCTTCCACCTCATCCTCCTCCTCTCCTAGCTCCTCCTCCTCTCCCAGCTCCTCCTCCTCTTCTACAAGCTGAAAAAACCAGTTATCAATGGGGTCCCAGGCCTCATCTTCCTCCTCCTCCAAAACGGCATCTACTGCCTCCTGGAAATCCTCAGCGGCCACCTCTGCCTCGACTTCAGCCACCCATTCTTCAGGCACCAAGGCACTCCCAATGAATCCAGGGTCCAGGGCTGCCCCGTCACAAGCTCCACTCTGGCTATGTTGAGCCAGGTCTCGCTTCTCAGAGGCAGACATGGCAGGAGGGACTCACCAGTCAGGACCTCAACTAGAGCAGCAAATGGGGCTTCAGCAACAAAGGTAGCAAAGATGGCGGCCACCCAGATCACTGCCGCTGAGGAGAGGGAGTCAGCTGGCAGTCGGGCCTGCTGCAAAGTGGTGGGGGTGGCAGAGAAGGCAGCCAAACAGGAGACAGCTGTCTGTGACAGTGGCTGTGAAGGCCCTGGTACAGGAATGCGGGGCAAAGTGGGACCCACCAAGGCAGCCACTAAAATGGCCACGGACAAGGTCAGCCACAGGGTCAGAGCCTGGATGGGTCAACAAATGGCAACTTCCGTTCTTACAAACTGTAAACTCATTTGCTGAGAAGTGACGATGGAGATGCTCTGTGTCCAATGAGTGAGCAAGGTCCTCAGCTCTCCTTGAGGCCTTCGGATGCTGGGCTTCCCACCCCTGCCGCCGCCCACTGAGCTCACACAAGTGTGGTCCTTTTAATTCTACCATTGCCAGCAAACTATAGTGTTCTGATATGCTGGGCCTCCTGGGGCATGTGACTTTAATTTGTTTCCCAGTTTCCACCTGGAGACACCTTGTGCCAGTAGGGACACTGTCATAAAAACATAAAAAATAAATCAGTATATAGATAAAATATTAGTGATGGTAAAGAGAGAGATTTTGGATATTTTAACATTATTAAATCTACTTAGAAAAGAATACATAAAGTTTAAATGGATGCAGTCAGAACGGAGTTGAAGAAGTGTTAAAAACAGGAAAATAGCCAGGCGTGGCGGCATGCCACTGTAATCCCAGCTACTCGGGAGACTGAGACAGGAGAATTGCTTGAACCTGGGAGGCAGAGATCACACCATTGCACTCCAGCCTGGGTGACAGAGCGAGACTCCGTCTCAAAAAAAAAAAACAGGAACTGGAAGGTGATCAAAGAATGAATGTTGCTAAATCCACCTGCAGCCTCCAAAGAGTGAATAAGGATAGAGAGATACTGTTTTTAAAGGACCAGGATTAACCATGACAAAGAGTAAAAGGACAAGCCTCCTAGAATGATTTCTGAGGCAACAGTAAAAGACACTTTGTCATATTTAGCCCCATTTAGTTAATACGTCAAGTGTAAATGATCTTAAAATTATGAAGGAATCAACAACTATTTTATACTGATTCCATTTACCATTGCCAGTGACCACAGAAGCACCAAAAGAATTGTAAACTAGAAATAAAATTCTAAGCCCACCCCATCAACTGAACAGACTCCCTCTTGGCCAGTGGGAACCCAGGGAAACCTTAAAAACTGAATTCCCTACCATGACAAGAAGGGAGGTCAAACATGCCTCATGATACCCCTCCCCTTTTGTAGTCTAGACAACAATCAACCTGCAGAATGTTAAAATAGAGATAATAAGACTGACGAAACAGAACCTTGTGGCAATAAGATACCAAATTATAAACAAAACCTAGGACTATGCCAGGCAAGGGTTAAGTCATGCCTGCAGGCAATCAATCTTGCTAAACAGGTCATTTTGACCCAGTATATTGTGATTGGCTCTGATATAGTATTCTTATCTTAACTTGAACATTTCTTTCTTCTGACCTCAAGTTTTAGACAGAGCCTTACTCCTTTAACCAATTGGAAATTAAATAATCTCCAAATTCACCTATAATCTGTAAGCTCCACTCTCCCTCAACCCTGCGCTTCAAGATATCTTGTCGAATCAATGTCTACCTTCCATGTATTGATTTATGTTTTTGCCTGTAATTCCTGCCTCCCTGGAATGTATAAAACCAAACTGTATGGCATTCTATTTACTATCAGCAAAAATAAAAATAAAAAATAAACAAACAAACTGTAACCTGGCTTCCTCAGGACCACTTACTCAAGGCTTTTTGTGTTAGTGTTTTCCCTGAACCACAGTCACTCATATTGTCTCAAAATAAACCTATTTAAAATATTTTACAGAGTTTGGTTTTTCCGTAAACAGAATGCCAGATGAATCCTCTGGGTTTCAGACATATTCCTCCCTATCCCCATGATGCAGCAACAACCTTTATCTCTGCATGGTGCAGGGGTCAAAAGAAAATTTACCTCCGTGCCCTCTAACGCAGATTAATTGGAGAAAAAGCACACACATTCATTAACACATACACAAGAAGAATCACAGAGTAATTGCCCCATGCCCCAATGGGGCGTAGAAGCTTATATACCATCATGAAGTTACAGAAAGAATGGGGGCTTGGATTCTGGCAAAACAGGTTATGGTGGCAGAACCGGTTATAGGAGGGGGAAGAAGAGAAATTCTGTTGAGGGGCAATAAATGATTAAAAGGGAGAATGAATAGATCATGGAACAAAGATTAACTTGTAAATAGTTCTCTTGGGAATTTGAATGAGTCTGACAGATATTACCATGTGAAATGGTTTGTTCAGGTGTGGTTACATTGTTCTCCTTGGTAGGTCCACACTTCAGGCAGAAAAAGAAACTTCAGAGAACTCCATCTGTGCTTTGGGAGAGACAGAGATTGAGAGGCAGTAGGGTGGAGGATGGTCAGAGAGATCTAGATGCTTTTTCAGTTCAGCATGTCAAAGTGCCATATTTTGGGGTATCAGTTTCTGAACCCCAACAGTGATAATCATGGTTGATTTTCCCTGTTGGTATATAAACTCCTTTCTTTGCCTGCTGATCCATTGCCATGAGGAAACTGAGGTGACCAGGCAGTAGTTGTAGCCTCAAGTTTAATAGAAACCAACCTGTGTCTCTTACTGGAAGCACTCCCTCTTGGGATACAGGGCATCTAATATGGCAGACCTTAAAGTTTCAGGGATAGGAAGTACACATTCTGCAAATGTGCTATGGAGAATGATGGTGAGAAGAGCTGTTGTAGCCTCTCTACAAAGAAAGGATGGACCCCTGTAACAGTTAATTTTAGATGTCAACTTGACTAGATTGAGAGATATCTAGATGATTGGTGAAGCATTGTTTCTGGGTGTGTCTGTGAGAGTGTTTCCAGAAAAGATTAACTTGTGAGTCAGTGAACTGAGAGAGGAAGACATGCTCTCAATGTGGATGGGCACTATCTAATCTGGGGTTAGGCATCCAGAAGAAGGGAGATATTCAGCTTGTTTGGTTTTCTTTTTCATGCTCTCTCTCTCTTCTAGAGCAGGATGTCCTTTACCCTCTCCTGCCTTTGGATATCAGACTTCAGGTTCTTCAGCCTTTGGACTTTGGGGCTTGCACCAGCAGCCTCCTAGAGGCTTTCAGCCCTTTAGCCTCAGATTAAAATCTTCACCCTCAGCTTCCCTGGTTTTGAGCTTTCAAACTTGGACTGTGCCACACTACTGGCTTCTCTGGGACCCATGCTAGTGGGATCTTTCATTCTCCATCTTATAGAAAGCCTATCACAGGACTTTGCCTTTGTGATTGTGTGAGCCAACTTGTTACTGGTAAAGCTGGTTCCCCCCAAAACTGGATCTTTTCTTATTCAGTGTTGTGAAGCCAATACACAAAACCAAAAGTGAGCCTCGAGCAGTGCAGTCTTGTTCGATGGCCATGAAATTGAGAAGCAGGAGTGTGGCTCACAAACCAACTTCTCAGTTCACTCATGAGAGCTGGGAAAACACAGACATAGGATATCTTTAATGAATGGATTGGGCATTAAAAGCAAGGGGAGGGCCAGGAGAGGTGGCTTACACCTGTAATCCCAGCACTTTGGGAGGCTGAGGCGGGTGGATCATGAGGTCAGGAGATGAAGACCATCCCGGCTAACATGGTGAAACCCCGCCTCTACTAAAAAAACACCAAAAATTAGCTGGGTGTGGTGGTGGGCGCCTGTATTCCCAGCTACTCGGGAGGTTGAGGCAGGAGAATGGTGTGAACCCGGGAGGTGAAGCTTGCAGTGAGCTGAGATCACGCCACTGCACTCCAGCCTGGGCAACAGAGCAAGACTCCATCTCAAAAAAAAAAAAAAAAAAGCAAGGGGAGGAATATTCATGTCTATTCATGTATTTTCTGGTAATGGGCAAAGAACTTCTGAAAACCAGAGTACCACCTTCTGTTTTGTCCTTCTATGGTTTCTTCCCGTTGTTGTCATGAAGACTGTCAACTGTCATGGTGTTGGTGTGTTATTATTTAGTATGGAATTTAGACTATAATGAACCTAGAGGTTCTTCAGAGGTTGAGCTTCCATCTTGGATCCCACCGTCTTAGCCCATTTGGTCACAAAAGCAAACTTCTGACCTCAGGCATTCTGTTTCTTAAAGATAAGCAGAGTTTAAGGCAGGGTAGAAATTTACCTACACCATGTAGGCATTATGCTGGGTAAGAATTCTCCCTACAACCCCCACCTAAAACTTAATTCAAGACTGATAACATCTTACACGAAGCAAGTAGGTATGACTTACTACTTACATAATTAATGCTTTCAGAGGAGAGGACAGGCTTCCCAAGATGATCTGAAAATGGCTTGAGAAAGTGGAAAAAGAAGACTGACTTCAGGTTTTTGTTGTGGTTAGGGAGAGGGGTCAGGATGAGGGTTCCAATTGCACAAGTATGGACTTGCATGGTTTGAACCTCCTACTAGTGCCCAAGGAGAAATTACCTAGGACTTTTTATCAGTTTGCC